TAAGAGTGGGTATCTTTGTCTTGTTCCAGTTCTCAGAGGGAATGCTTTCAACTTTTCCTCATTCAATATTACATTGACTATGAGCTTGTCATAGATGGCTTTTATTATATTGAAATATGTTCCTTGTATGCCCATTTTGCTGAGAGTTTTAATCATAACTGGATGCAATATTTGTCTTTCTGTTCCTGGTCTGTGTTACTTAGCGTAATACCCTCCAAGTTAATTCACGTTGTTACAAACGTCAAAATTTTCTTCTTTTTAAAGGCTGAATAATATTCCCTTGTGCATACATACATAGTATATGTGTATCATATATATGATAAATTGTGTGTGTGTGTGTATATATACACACACAATGGATTACTATTTAGCCTTTTTAGAAGTGAATATAGACAAATGTTATATATATCACATGTTCTTTATCCATTCATTCATTAATGAAAGCTTAGATTTGTTTCATATCTTGACTATTGTGAATAATACTGAAGTGAACATGGAAATGCAGGTATCTCTTCAAAACACTGATTTCATGCCCAGAAGTGGGATTGTTGAATCATATGGTAGTTGTGCTTTTAATTTTTTGAGGAACCTCCATACTATTGCCCATAACGGCTGTATTATTCACATTCTCACAAATAGTGTACCAGGGTCCCCATTCTCCACAACCTTAATAACACTTATCTCTTTACTTTTTGCTGTTGTTGTTGTTGAGACAGAGTCTTACTCTGCCACCAGGCTGAAGTTCAATGGTGTGATCTCAGCTCACTGCAACCTCCAACTCCCTGGTTCAAGTGATTCTCTTGCCTCAGCCTCCCAAGTAGCTGAAATTACAGGCACACATCACGACACCCAGCTAATTTTTGTATTTTTAGTAGACACAGGGTTTCACCACGTTGCCAAGGATGGTCTCGATCACTTAACTTCGTGATCTGCTCACCTCAGCCTCCCAAAGTGCTGGGATTACAGGTGTGAGCGACTGCACCTAGCCATCTCTTTACTTTCTGATAATAGTCAAAATAACAGCTGTGAGGTGGTATCTCATTGTGGTTTTGACTTGCATTTCCCCGATGGTTAGTGCTGTTGACCATATTTTTATATACCTGTTGGCCATTTGTATGTACTCTTTGAAAAAAATTTATATTTCAATCTTTTGCTCATTTTTAAATCAGGTTTGTTTTTCTGCTATTGAGTTATGTAAGTTCCTAATATATTTTAGATATTAACCACTTATTAGATACATAGTTTACAAATATTTTCTCCTATTCTGCAGGCTGACTTTTCATTTCATTCCCTTTGCATTGCAGAAGGTTTTAATGTAGGCAATAATGTTATGTCAGCCAGAACTAGACTCATATATTGTACAATTTCAATTTTGGGGAAGGGCCAGTGTGAGGAGTAGTTGTAGACTAACATTACTGGTGATAACTAAAAGTTAACTTAATATAGAACAGGTCATTTTGATGACTGATGGTAGTTCTATGAAGTTTTAAGTGGTAATGGTAGCATTTGTGGTTGCAGGTTCAGATGTGTTGACAAAAAGAGTAAACTTTGTAAAATATTTTAAGGGATTTATTCTGAGCCAAATATGAGTGACCATGGCCCATGACAGAGCCCTCAGGAGGTTCTGAGAACTTGTGCCCAAGGTGGCTGGGGTACAGCTTGGTTTTATATATTTTTAGGGAGGCATGAGGCATCAATCAAATACATTTAAGAAATACATTAGTTTGGTTCAGAAAGGCGGGACAACTCAAAGAGGGAGCTTCCAGCCTATAGGTAAATTTAAATATGTTCTGGCTGACAATTGGTTGAGTTTATTTGAAGACCTGAGATCAACGGAAAGGAATGTTCAGGTTAAGATAAAGGATTGTTGGGACCAAGTTTTATTGTGCAGAGCAATCTCTCAGATCTCAGACTTCAGCAAGAGAGCAGGTTGTAAAATATTTCTTAACAGACCTAAAAGAGTGCCTGACTTTTTGCTGATTATCTCCTGAATGTGGAAAGAAAGGAAGGAAAACAAAGGGGGGAAGGGTATTCTCTATAGAATGTGGAGTTTTTCCCACAAGAGACTTTGCAGGGCAATTTCAAGGTATGGCAAGAAAATATATCTTGGGGTAAAACATTTTGATTTTTTTCCCTTGTTATACCAGAGTCAGATTGGAAAGTAAGTCACAATATACAGGGTTAAATAAAACCCGTCTGATGAGAAATTATGGTTTGTAGGGCATGATTCTCCAGACCAATTAGAAAGGAATGTGGGCAAGATGAAAAATCAGAGCTTAGTCCTAAGATGAATAGGTGGAGATTATACATTGTTGGAAAAGAATGATGAGCATTGTTACTGCAGGCTAAGCAGAAGTTACAGTAGTTATAGGTTAAGTGGAAGCAGTAGTGGTTGTAGATTCAGTTGAAGAGAATGTAGTTGTTGATTCAGTCAAAGAGATGGTAGAACTGGTGATTGTTTGAATTGTCAAGTAAGTTTAAGTTGAAGTAGGACTTGATATTGCTGAAATTGTAACAGTTAAAGAGTCTGTTACGGTGACGGCAGCCATGGTTCCACTCGAAGTGATAGGAGCAGCTGCTACAGTTGCAAGCTGAGTTGAAGTGGTAGAGGCTGAAGTTTCAGTTGAAGTGATGGCTGTGGCTGTTTAAATCACATATTAAGAGAAAGCTGTAGTTGTAGGTCCTGTGGAAGTGGTGGCAGTTGTAGCTGTTGAGGTTGTAGTTTCAGTGGTTGTAGGTACAGTTGAAGTGGTGGTCATTGTAGGTGGACAAGCAGTAGAGGGTGTTCCAGATTTGACAGTAACACACTCTCCATTTTTTGTGGACAGCTGGATAACAATGGAGGAATTGGCACTTCCTTTGTTATTCACCAAGCATATTATGAGTACCCCAATTGCTGTCATTATCACACAGGCTAAGAGACAAGCCAGGAAGACTTTCCACATAGACCAGTCACTGTGGCAATGTTCTTTTACCTAAGCATGTATATAAAAATATCAGCAAAGAAAAACAAAAATGCTTGTAACTTATCATCTCTTTTATATTACTTATAACTTACTGTATTAACAATCATTTAAATCACTATGTGTCTCTGAAAGTTGGGCTTAAACTCCATGTTTTCATGCAAGTGGAAATAATTGTCTGTTGTCCCTTACATTAGAAGACAGATCTGTAAAATTTCATCTTCTCTTATTCTATTTTCCATTTGTCTCTTTTCAACGGACTTAATTTTTGTAGGGCAGTGTTAGGTTGACAGCAATATGAAGCAGGAGATCCAGTGATTTCCCACATCCCTCCTGCCCTCACGCATTTACAGCCTCACCAGTTGTCAACTTCTCCCATCAGAGTAGAATATTTGTTACAATTAATTAAGCTACAATGATATGTCATTATTAGAGTCCATAGTTTACTTCAAGGTTCACTCTTGGTGATGTACACTCTATGGGTTTGGACAACTATACAATGACATATATTTACCATTACAGTATCATGCAGAGTAGTCTCACTGCCCTAAAAATCCTCTGCATTCCACTTATTCTTTCCTCTCTCACTCCTACATTTTTTTTTTTTTCATGTGAGCAGAACAGTACTTTTAAACAGTAAATTCTCTTTCATGCACCTGATTCTCCAATGGACATTATCATTACCACAAACTGCTTCATTTCCTCAAGAAATCTGTCCTCTAACCACCATGCTCACTCCTTCCACATTGCTTGTTCCCTGATACCAGCATGATCTTTCTTTAGTCTTATTGAAACCTTTGGTTTGGCAGCCCTTATTTCACTTAGATTCCTCCTTGTCCATCTTTTGTTGGGTGGTCCATTATTTCAAAATAACATTCTTGCTAATTCCCTAGAATCTCTCGAACTTCCTCTTCTCATTCTCTCTAGATGGCAAGTAAATGACTATTTGCTTTCTCTGGACCCGCCCTGGGGCTGCCACACTGTTGGGGAATGTCAAGCCCTTGAGCAGATTAGAACCCATGTAAATGTAAGTTCGTCATCCTCAAATGAATTTTCTGTTCTGCTCTATCACCCTACTATATTTCCCTGACTAAAATTCTCTCTCATTTCATAGTACTTTCTCAATCTTCTACTGTCTCTTCGAATCTGTAATATCTACCCACAAACCCTTGCACACTAGTTGTCCCTTCTCATTCTCATCAAATGACCACACCTTCCCACTTCACTGAAAAACTCAAAAATACCTAACAGTAACTCTTTCAGACCCCTATTAGCTACCAAACCTGCAAACCTCAACACTCCACCAGAGGTCTGCACTCCACCTCTCCTTTCCCGATTGACACAAGAGAAGTTATACCTCCAACTGACTGAAGCTGATCCCCCAATCTGTCCTTTGGATCCCATCTCGTCTCCCCTTCCCAGCAACATTTCTTTTTTGAATGCCCTTCCTCTCAGAATGAATACTTCACCACTTTCCTCTTAAACGGCTCTTCCTTTTAACATTTAAACTCACTCAGCTCTCTCCCATTTCAAATAAAAAAAAACATCGTTTGATTCCAAATGAACCTCTTGCTATTGCATTTTTCCTCTCTTTCCCTGGAAAATGACATGTCTAGAAAGTTGCCTAGATGCAATGTCTCCATTTGCATCTTTTAAGCCAGTGCCATCTGGCTTCAGCTTCCTTCATGCCACTGAAAAAGTCACCAGTAATATTCATTTATTAGAAGCTCATTGTCGTATTTTAGACTTCATTTTACTTAAGCCCTGAGTAGCATTTGTCATTGGAGCCCATTCCTCCTTGTCTCTTTTGCTTCTGTGTTGTTCCATTCTCATTGGTTTCATCCTAGCTCCCCAGAATCCTATTCTCAGTTTCTTTTGAAACCTCACTGTTCATTTTCAGCCTTTACTGTTGACATACCCAGGCCCTTGTCTCTTTTCACTGTAGGTCTGAAGTTAATGAAATTTTTCTAAAAGGGTCAGATAGTAATTATTTTCAGCTTTGTGAGCCACACAGTTTTTTTTTTCTTTCTCCCCAAAAGCTGATGCTCTCTAGGAACAGAGAGGCCATTCTGGGGTCGTGTCTGTCATGCAATAGGAGAGTCTTCCTCTGCCTCTCTGAAAACACATCAAGCACACACATAACCTGTGTGATTAAGCAGAGCTGAGAGGCCAGAGCTGTATACTTTTTGTTACAGCTACTCCAATTCTGTCATTGCAGTGGCAATGCAGTCACTGACACTGAATAAACAAGTGAGCATGGCTGCACTTCAATGAAATTTTATCTCCAAAAATAGTTGGGGTCTTAGATTTGGTCACTTTATGCTTTCTCCCCAGGATTTCTCATTACATCCATGATTTTAGTTACCAACCATATCCAAATGACTATGTTTATCCCTAGTTCAGCCAATCCCTCTAACTTTCAAATGCTTACATGGTACCATATTTTAGATCTCAAAGATGTCTCAAATTCAATGTGTTCAAACCCAAAGTCATGTTCTTCTCAGTGAAACCTGGCCAACTCCCACATCTCACTGAATGGCACCACCATCCATTCCATTCAATTCCATAAACTGGAACAAAGAGATCATCCTAGAAATCTCCCATTTCAGTACCAAGTCCTGTTAACTTTAGTTCCTAAATATATCCCTGTATTAATGACTTTTTCTCCATCTCTGCTGATACCTGTCTAGCCCAGGCTTCCTTTATCTCTACCTTATACTGCAATAGCCTCAGACCCTACTCGTCCCCAGTTTCTTCAAACGCACCATGCTTACTTCTAAAATAGGACCTTGGCAAAAATTTGTCTGTCAGTCAAGAAGGCCATTCTAACCGCCATCCGCCATCCTCCATCCTCCATCCTCCATCCTCCATCCTCCATCCAGAATATAGCATGGTTCAGCTTCAGCACAGCACTGTTTCCACAGGCACCTATTTTGGCACCAGTTCCTGAGCACTGGTCAGTGACTATGTTATTAGGAGAGAAATCGGGCACTATGAGAAGAATGATGCACTAATTTTTCTTAGAGTATCCCCAATTATTTAAGTAATATTGATTGCTAGGTTATGAATCAACTCTTGATAACAACTCTATAACTTCCAATCATGCAGCATGTAGGTGGCTACCTGGAGTGAAGTATAATGAGAGAGACTCAGAGAATCCACCTGAGTGCATTATCTCCATCCCAGGCCTAATATCTGAAATTGTACAATAAAAAAACTCCCTAGTTTTTCATTGTGCAACTCCCTAATTTGCACATCAAATTTCCATTGATGTGCATTTTAACAAGGTAAACCAAAGCCCTGCTTATTTTCTCACTATCTTTAACAAAGATTAAAGAGATTATTTACCAGCACAGTTTAAAAGAACAAACATAAAATGTTAGATTAGAGACCCTATGTTGAAATCTACATGCTACCTCAGAAAATTTCTTAGCTTTTATGAGTTCCTATTTCATTTATGCATTGGTGATAAAAATGGCTTGTGACTTATAGGATTGCCTTAAAATTACAATAATTGAATTGGTTTATTAATACTGAAAGTATTTTGCAAATATTTGTTGTTACTATTCTTAGACAGGCAATGTGGCATAATAGAAGAGTCCCGTCTTTTTTAAATAGAGAGATATGTTTAATTTCAGAGGTATGAAATCTTAAACAACATCCTTACCTTCTCTCAACCTGAAGTCTCTTATTTTGAAATACAGGGATAAAAATTATCCATCTCATATTGTTGTTGAGAAGATTAAAAATAAGGTGATCGCCAGTAGAATAGGACCCATGAAACTTTAAATATGACACAGTCTCCCGTCAGAGCCTAATGGTGAATTAAACACTAATACTGCTAACATTCTTATTTGTCCACCCATCCGTAAACTTGCATTTGTACCTTACACTTATTCCTTTGATTTTCATATATGTTCTCTATCTATTGTGAATATTTGAGCCCCCAATTAGAACATTAGCTCTTGGAAAGCAGAGACTAGCAAATATTTATTTTCTTGTGAATTGTCTCACAGTGACTTGTACCTATACTGAGAATACAGCAAATGCTTAATACAAATGTAAATGAATTAAGTAATTAAATACATTTCTTGGGAAAGAATAAGCAAAGTACCTCCCCATATAGAGCACGTCCCAACTTGAATAAAAGCTCCTGTGTTAAATATTACCTGTGTGTTACAGGACTCTGATTGTAGACATCTTGAATGTGCAGGGACTCCTGGGCTCACGCAGACCCCAGCTAAGTTGGGAGAAACATCACTGGTTATGTCATTTGATGGTGGACACCAGCGTATGGAACTGTGAGCCTCTTGGTCATTTGGACGTGTGATTGGCTACAACGGCAGAGTGCAAGTGATTAGGAAACCTAGGAAGCCATGGCATTGAATTGCTAAAATAAAACTCTTCTATCAAACATACATAAGAGTGTGACTTTTAAAAGGAATAAATGTTTTCTTATCCTCTGAAGATAAAAAATCTAGACAGATTATTATACCTTATACTTTAACTAATTTTTGTTAAGTTACCAAACTCCTAGTTTAGGAATGTGTTATCTTCTTCTTCATGGTATTACATCAGTGGATTGGATATCTTCATATTGCAAGCTGCCATATGTGGAGCATGTGTTAAGAAGCCTCCATAAGGAAGAGGATGGTAAGCTGAACTCCTTGCATATTATTGGGTACTAACCCGTTCAGGTCATTTTGGAAATGGAAATATTGAAGTAAAAAGAGTTGAAATGATTTGCCGTCATGACACAAAAGGAGCTCGGACCTTCCAGTGTTAAGGCCCGTGTACTTTCCGCTATACTATATTACACTATACCGTACTAGGAATAGTATAGTGTAAAGTACACATTGTTATGCTATACCATGTTATGCTAATATAGTAATGTAGTATAGACTATACTACATGATACTAGTGAAAAATTCTTACACAAAATGACTGCTTTACATAATTCATATCATGCTGTATCCAATGGAACTTGCAAGCCTATGGCAGTGACACAGAAAAGAAACCATTTGTCGAGTTTGCAGTATGTTTTTGCTGGATTCCTCGGGCACAGTGCAGTGTAAAAACAGTCCACACCAATGTTAGTCTCTATTCTCAAGGAGTCTATTTTCCCATGGGGAGGCAAAACAGATTACTGTATAATTAACAAATAAATGCAATAATTGTAAATTCCCATTCAGAAGAAGAGATGAATAAGGATTGAAAATGACTGAGTTGGCAGGGAAAGATTTTAGGAAAGGGATGTGTTAAAAGATAAAAGAAGGGAAGAATAAGATAAAGTGAAAACGAGAGAGGAGTAGATTCAAGAATTAATGGATCTTGTGGAAAAGTTTTTTGTTTGGTTTGGTTTTGGTTTTGAGATGGGGTCTCTGTAACCCAGGCTGTAGTGCAATGACACCATCACGGCTCACTGAAACCTCAACCTCCCAAGTCTCAAGCAGTCCTCTCATCTCAGCCTCCTGAGTAGCCATGACTACCGGCATACGTCATTATGTACCTAATTACTTTTTATGTTGTTTTTCATAGTGATCGGGTCTACATATGTTGCCCAGGCTGATCTAGAACTCCTGAGCTCAAGCAGTTCTCTGGCTCTGCCCTCCCAAAGTGCTGACATTGTATGCACAAGGCCCTGTGCCCAGCCAAAAGTTTTATTACATATGAAACATAAGGTAGAATTATTTAAGGCTCTTCATTTCACAGGATGATAATGTTTACTTTCTGCTGTGAATCAAGGTGATCTTTGGCCACTCCTCAATCAGCTTCAAAGGAGGAATACTAAAATTACTCACTTACAGATTTGCTCATATGATCACTGAGTAAATAACTGCCACACGCTTGGAGCAATGTCTGGCACATAGTATACACTGAATAGGTGTTAACTATCGTTATTGTTATTAGTAATAGTTACTACTGCTACTGCTACCAGTTGTCTTTGTGTTGATTTAATAACCCATTACTAATAGTTATAGAAATTACAACCAGTGAGTTCTATGAAAACTGTCAAACCAGAATGATATGTAATCATTGACCCATTAGAAATTATCATTAAAAATACAAAAATATACAATTGTCATTAAACACAGATAAGATGGGATACTCCTGGCAGTATAAAATTAGCTAAGTTAAATTTTTCTGTTAAGTATAATATCAAAGAAATAGATAACTGTCCCATGTTTATCAAATATGAGTAAAATTCTACCTACTATTCATTAGGCAAATTTGAAGAAGTTGAATTTATCTTTTGATAATATTCTTGCTTATTTAACTAGGTGCTGATCCTTTTGTTTCTGTTACATCCAATTTACTTGTGGCTAGTGAACCTGAACTTTTAATTCCCTTTGCAAACAAAGTGAAACTCACTCAGCAGGCCAGTTTCCCAAATTTTTCTGGCTCTGTTAGAATCCCAGTCCTTTCAGAGAGGAAGGTAATGGATGGGTCTACATGAAGGGTGGCAGCCTGCAATCTAGGACCAGTTTGGGAATAATATTGCAGCCTAAGTAATGATTTTACAGTGTCAGGTTGCTCTGACTCTTAGTACAGTGGAGTCTTTATTCAAAACTGGAAGAGTTGGAGAGCTGTAAATAATATTTAATCAGCATTAGCATAATCCGCATTAGCTAATAATGGCCGCAGACACCTGAAATGTATTAGCTATATTTACAAAAAGACACTCTATAAGTTTTATCCCCTAACTTTATAAGGATTAACTTGAGATTTCTTGTATCCCTAACAGAAAAACAAGGACACCAAAATTTATTTTCTATGTGTTTATAATCTTTAAATACTTTTTAAATTACATTATTGAATTTGGCCTGAAGAGAAAAATATTGTTATATCTAGGCCTGAATAATATAATAAAGTAAAATATTTAGTCAGCTATCCAGACATATGCTGTAAAAAACAAACAAAAAAAAAACAAAAAAAACTTAAGCTCATATTTGTAAACATCTCTACATTTGTTATTATCTAGAGAAACTATCAAGATGATAAATATCTGGCCAAAGAGAATTTTTTTTCTTTCCGTCTGAATATTTGGACATCTTGAAGATTCAATTACAGGGTTGCCTGAGCAACTGACCAAGCAAACTTCCAGACACCAACCCTGGTACTGAAGATCTTGGTTCTTTCGGTGAATCAGAAATCCTCCATAGGATTCTTG